GGGGGGGGGGGGGGGAAGGAGTAAAATATAGCTCTTTTGCATTACATTCGTGGAAACAAATTTTGAATGTAAAAAAAGAAAACGCACCCCACCCCCCACCCCCCACCCCACAGAACATTAATATTCCGACAGATATTAGAAATCGTGCAATTGCAGTGATAGGAAAAAATGATTCAATTAGCGTGTAGGCAGATAATGGTTTTTAAATGTCGATAAATCATAATTTTTTTCTAAACAAAATGGTTGAAACCAATAAAATACTGTATTTCAAAAGCACAACAGTTGACCCCAAAATTTCAGATCGTAGACTGTACATCTTTCTGTACTTCTTTTTTTTTAGGGGATGCATATTTTATCTTGAAAGCAATGATTTCTTTATCTTTCTCAAGGACAATTATGTTCAGGTGCCCGTGAACGAAGAAAATATCTTTTCAAGGCCTTATAAAACCAGGTGATCAGCAACTAAGGCCCCGTTCCCATAGGTACTATCGGTCTACGTATGTCGATCCAACTTCGCGGGACTTTCGCTGAATGCAATCAGATTGATAGGTTGACGTGCCTCCTCTTGTCGTTCAGTAGAATACAAAAATGACTGATGATTATACAAGTGCGTTAGAAACAAGAGAAAACGTGTCATTCAGTTAAGCTGATTGCAGTCAGCGAGAGTCCCCGCAGAGTTGGCTCGATCCGCGTAGACCGATGGTATTTATAGAATGAAGCATAACAAACTTTCTGGAGTCGCGATGAGAGGCCGGGGGCTCATTTATCGTGGCCTATGACAGGTGTATTAGATAAGAAAATCATTTTTCAACGAGAAAGCAAACATGAACCTTTTAAAATGTTCTCGCGGTCGCCGGAGACGCATCGGCGCCGTTTGAATGGGTAAATATTGCACCCCGCCATTTCCTCTCATCTCATAGGGCTACCCGCTTGTTGAGACCTCTCCGCGCAAGAGGGATGAAGGCTACTTGTGTGTGTGTCTGTGTGTGTGTGTGTGTGCGTGCGTGTGTGTGTGTGTGTGTGTGTTAATCATTTTATCATTTTCAAAACATTAAGATAATGTTCTCCAAATTCAGGCCCTACAAATAACCTGCCGACGATTGCACGCATGAAAAAAAAAAAGAAAAATTTCTGTGTCACAGTTGAAATCGCTCATAAGTTGAATGAACATCTAGTTACGGCACATGTGATGTATTTAGCCCTTCAAGCATGTTTCACAAAGCATAATAAAAATCCTTTATTTTGCTACAAGGCGGGGCTAAGTGATTAAAACCAAAACTTGAAAACTGATTTTTAAAAAGCAGATATTTTAAAACATCTACTATTACAACGCCCAAACCCCTGTTCGAGAGGCTCTCAAAATGTAAACGCATCATAGATTAAATTTATTACAGCGACATTATCGTTTTTAACTCACTGGGAGACCCCGCCACCTTCTAAAGAAACGTCCAAAAATGAACGCGACTCAAAGTTTAATTGCTGTACACAATAAAAGAGATTTCCTATCTCTAAGGCGGAGCGTTTGGATTTATCATCTCTTTTAATCCGTCAGAGTTAAACAAAGATAAGGACTAAATGGCTTATGATAGGGCAAGATATGATGTGTTTTACGTGTTCTTTATATCGCGTTTGTTTAGCTAATCCCATGTTTTCGTCAGTTTTATCTACGTGTGATAAGCCTGAACCTCCAAGTACGATCTTCGTGCAAAAACATAAAAAACATGTTGATGCTTCAGCAGAATAAAAGTGCAAAAGAAAAAGGGGGTAGTTTATTTTGTATTACCACTGCCCTTGGGCTGTGATGCATGAAAACCCTGAAGACAAGCGGCGAGGACAAACATAAAGAACGTGAAACTGCGCAAGCCTAAGAAAAAACAACGTCGTGTGGATCGACCTTTTTGAAACTGACTGCCCTCCTCTAGCCGTCTAATAGCCGTCTAAGAAGGTAGGATAACTATTTAGACCCAGGTATATAAGGATCTTTAGTATTTTATATAGAATTAACGAAGAGTCGGCTCAACACTTTTAAGAGCCAATTTTTCAGAGAGTAGATAACTATAGACAATAGATCGCAGCTCGCCTGTATTTCTTTGAGTCTAGCGTTTTGCGGGAAAATCACGTAGAAAAGAGTCGACCTTACTTATATGTAAACGCGCCCTATGACCTATTTGTATTATAACTGCATGTATAAATGATTCAGTTTTTGACAGATGTTAAAAGGACGCACGTTTATCACGTTTATGTACAGGACATGGGATTATTTTTAAGCTCTCAGGCATCACAACAACAAGAACGTATCTGCGTTGTAAACGTTGAGACGCAGAAAAGTAGATGCACTATTTGTCAGTTCAAAAAGTGCGCTCTGACCTTGGCTGGAAAAGACAGCAATAAAGACATTTGTCATCTAAATGGTATAATAACTTGTTTGCGACGCTTCGGTGTCATCAGTTTCGAGGAAGTAATATTTCTTAAATCATTATCCCAATGTATAAATATAGCAAATGGGAATGTAAATAAAAGGCATTTACATTGTGTTGTTCAAAATAGAATGATTATAATATTTTAACACCTTTATTATGCCATTATAAAGTTTGCAGCATGCAATGACAGGTCTATTTTTAATTTATGTTCCTTTTATATTTTAGGATTTTTTTTGGCAAGAATGAGTTTTTTTTTTTTTAATTATTTTTTTAGAAACTTGATTAAAACGATAAGTCTTGGACCTTGGGTACAGGGATTTATTTGATATTATAAACCCATTGGAAGCGTCTCCCCTTCTATTACGTAAGACACCACCTGCAGAACTCCTTCAAGTGAACAGATATAGATTATACTGTTTATAATGTTGTTGCAAGAATAGAATAAGACCTAAAAACGAAGGTGGGGGGGAGTTCAAATATGCAGGAAAAAATCATGAATGAATAGAAACGGCAACACTGTCACTATATAGTCTAACACACGTGAGCCTGGGAAAGTCTATGTAATTGAAAGTGCACGTGTAATAACATAACTTAGTGACCGCGGGGTTATTGACTGCATACAAGGGCAGAATGCATGGTTCGGGTGACGGCCATTTTGAAAGTTGATGACGTAACTTTGAAAATTGATGACGTAATCTACCACCTGCGAATGTTGCCGCAGCTTGCCATGCTCTGCTGTCCGTCTTCCGTGTTTTTGGGTTCAATTGTCATTGGATATTGGGGATATTATGCCCCTTATCGACTTGTATTGATGCATTAAGGGTTCTTTTTTTCATCAGCTCGGCCGTGATTTGTAGGCCTACACGGCGGTCCCCAAGCGACAGGTGCTTGAAATGTAGAATATGTTGCAATCAAGTTGACTTCCTAAAGGAGTTCTACTGGTTTCCCCCAACAGTGACTTGTTGTCTCTTATCCTTGTTTTTGAACAGTACGATTTTCAATTTTATACATATTACGAATATGCTAAATAGTGCTAATGCACTGCGTATTTTGCAACGGGTATGTGTAAGTGTTAGACTAGAAATATTTTTGAGATCCTAATTGGGCCACCTAGTGACATTGATTAAAAAGGGGTAATTGTGGGAAATCCAGGTTATTTAGAGATTTACAAAACGTCTATTTGACTAGTTCACACTCACTGGTAACTAGCCGGGCGCGCACGTGTCTTCTACAGTATGCGTTTATAAATGCTACGTAAAGCATACGAGCAATTATCACGAAAGTTATTTGACTTATTTTAGGACTCGTTTGAGGTCCAAGGACTACATCAAAAGCATTCTGACCATCAAAGTTTATTATTTTGACATATTACGCCATGCGTACGAATACCTTTATGGAAGGATTTTTTCGTGCAGTTTTATGATGGCAATGGCTTGGATCTGTTTCAAAGGGGAACTTAAGTCCGAAAATTGGTCTAAACTTTAAGACCAAAGCTTCGATCTACTTCAATGAATCAATGCAGGTTAAATTAACCCAATTAAATAGATAAAGTATGAACACTTTAGTCATATCTTTCTTATAATACAACAGGCGCAACAGCTCATTTAATTGATTTACCTTGAAGTAGAATAATATATAATATTAGTATGTAAGCTTAGACCAATTTTCGGGCTAAAATCATTTGGTGAATCCTTCCCCTTTTTTCGATCATTATGTGATGTGATGTGTGAAAACCACGCACTTACGCCGTTTGTATACAAATTTAGCCTAGTTTACATGCAATTAACGTCTATTCACGTCTTTACTGCAGTGTAATACTAGGGGTGGGCAAATGAAGGCTTTTTTGAGAAATTTAATTTCAGACAAGTGGATTCTATGGCCATTTTGGCTGCTGAATACAAATCTAATAAGTATTTTCATTTTAAATTACATCTGATATTGGTATCAGGTGATTTTTCAAAATGGCAACCAAACGATCCCTCAAATCACATATTTCTCATGTAAATCTTTAAATATCAGTTCAAACATGGCTTTTTATATGTCTAACCATATGATTTCATGATCAATGAGCATAAATAGATACATCATTTTGGTTGGGTCACTTCATTTTGGGATAAAAAGAGGATTATTTGTCATTTTGAGGTAAAAATCACCCCAAAATCACCATTTCTGTGTACATAAATACAAATGTTTATATGCAACTGTGGCTTTTAAATTAGGAAAAACAATAATACAACAAATATGGCCAGTGTTGTTCAAGGATCACATGAAACTGAAAAGTTTTGACATATAGAATAGCATAATGTTAGTTACATATGGGAATATTTACAGTAGAACACTCAGTAGCAGAGCATTAAGGATATTGTTACTCTTTATTACCATCCAGATACCGAAAATAAGTTTTTTCCTGCATCTAATTATTCAATAATGTATCTGTCTTTGTGCTGCTTTGAAACAATGAAAAAACTCTTGAAAATATGAAATAACGGCGTTTATATTTTTTCATTGCAATGTATAAGCATAAGCAACTCAAAGCTTTAATCATCTATTTAACAGCTTTCTTTTTTGAGATTAGTTAGCAATGCATATGGGGCTTAACTTCATCCCTGAACAAGATTTTACCACAAGGAATGGCCAATGGACCACAAAGGCATGAGTTACAATCCCATGCCAACGTTATGGTTTAAATGCTTTTGTTATGGAGTCATGAGTCCGTAATGACCGATCTTCTAAAAACAAAGGTATTATTTTGCTTTATCAACGATCAAATCTGAACTAAGGCTTTAAAAAATCGCTGGCAGGGTTTT